AATATTTCCTTTGCAGCATGCTTCTCCCCGTAAACTATTTTCACACCGTCCGACGTCGGTAGTTTCATCATTTGGTGGAGAGTCAAAGGAACTGTCCTCATGTCGCCCTCGATTGCGTGGAACTTGGTATCTTGAATGGTTCCAGCTACATTCACTAGTAAAATAATCTCCCCTTTAGTTGTTTCACTAGCCATGTTGAAGCCGTTTAGGACCGGAGCTGCGGGCACAACTTGATCTTATAGGCCGAGTTGCTCCGCGACCCTCGATCGGATGATATTCGCCGAGCTACCTGGATCCACTAAAACACGCTTAACATGAACTTTATTTAATAAGATAGAAATTACCAGAGCATCGTTGTGTGGCTGAGAGATGCCTTCTTCTTCTTCATCGTTGAATGATAAGGAGCATTCGGGCACATAATCTCGGGTTCATTTTTCCCTAGTGATTGACACCTTAGTGCGTTTGAATACGGGTCCATGTGGGACATCGACCCTACCGACTATCATATGAATGACATGCTGGGGTTCCTCCTGTTCATTTTTCCTGTTGGCATCCCTTTCCCTGAAATGATTCTTAGCTCGATCGCTGAGGAACGCTCGAAGGTGACCCTCGTTAAATAGACGAGCTACCTCTTCCCTAAGTTGCCTTCAATCCTCGGTTTTGTGACTGTGCGTGCCATGATACTTGCACATCAAATTTGGCTTTCTTTGGGAAAGATAGGTCGGTATGGGTCTGGGCCACCTAGTATCTTTGATCCTGCCGATTGCCGATACAATGCCCGATGCGTCAACGCTGAAGTTATACTCCGATAAACGAGGTGCCTCCACGGGATTGGCATGCTTATCAAAACCACTTTTGCTCATAAGTCACCGAGAATTCTGCCCTCAATCGCTCCTTTGATCATTCGAGGAGGAATTTCGTCCTGAACCATTGTTCCTTCAATTTGCGATATATGGTTGTTCGACCTTGGCTCCTTGTCGACGTCTCTCGAGGTTTTGACTGCAACCTGTTTGGATGTACTGAACGTAAAGGTGCTCCTAATTGATCGTCCTCCACCCTGATCTTCGATTGATATCGATTGTGCACATCTACCCAAGTTACAGCTGGATACCCAATCAAATTTTGTTTCAACTGTCGTGATGCTATCGAACTCTGCTCGTTCAACCCTTGGGTGAAAGTTTTAACGGCCCAATCATCTGTGACCGGTGTCAACTCCATGCGTTCCATTTGAAATCGAGATACAAACTCTCTTAGCATTTCGTTTTCCCTTTGTCTTATCTTAAAAACGTCCGATTTTCTTGTTGCGACCTTTATGGCCCCGGTGTGTGCCTTCGTGAAAGAATCAGCTAACATGGCAAATGAGTCAATAGAATTTGGTGGCAGGTTGTGATATCAAATCATTGCTCCCTTTGACAAAGTTTGCCCGAATTTTTTCAGCAAAACGGACTCAATCTCATTATCATCTAAGTCATTTACTTTAATTCCGCATGTGTGTGAAGTGATGTGTTCATTAGGATCGGTGGTTCCGTTGTACTTAGGTATATCCGGCATACGGAACATCTTAGGAATTGGCATCGGAGCCGTGCTCTGAGGAAAAGACTTTTGCACGAACTTTTTTGAATCCAATCCCTTTAGGATCGGGGGTGCCCCCGGTATCTGTTTATTCGGGAGTTGTATGTTTCTACTTTTTTATTATTATCTTCAATTTCCTTCTCCCCGGTCTCAATTCTTTTGGTGAGCTCCTCGAGCATTTTCATAATTGCAGGATCAGCCCTTGATTCGTTACTATTCGACCTTTCAGGCACTGGCTCGGCACGGCGAGTGATTTCTGGCTCGGCACGGCGAGTGATTTCTGGCTCGACCACATTGGAGTCCTATGTTGATTTTGCAATTGAGCAATAGTGGCCTGTTGAGACTGTGGCATCTCAAATATTACCTAGAGACTACCCCCCCCCCCCCCCCCCCGTCTTCTCTGCCATGTATACCTTGGCCACCAGATCATCCTTACCTGTGTACACTCCCTTCGGCGTCCACGCCTAGGTCCGCATTTAGAGCAATGTGCGAACTGATGTCCACGGGATCAGCGACCGATACTCCGCCGAGATTAGCCGGTCGGCTCCTGGGGCAATTACATTGTCGTTTTCCCCGTGAAGTTCGAGACCATCATCACCATGTACGGGTGCATTTTGTAAGTTTGACATGCTTTAACCCGAGAGCAAAAATACTTGACAAGAACAAGTGTGAAATCAACATGTGTTATCAGAATCAGCATTGAAACAATAACTATTATCCTTAGCCCCACGGTGGGCGCCAAACTGTTTACCCTATAACTCGAGTAACAATTAAAATTGTATTGTGGTTTTAAGGATGAGATTTAATTCAACGCCAATTGATAAACAATGGATTAAATAGATAAATTAAAGAGTAAGGTAGATCAAACCAGTTTATACGCTAAATCTCGAGTTCAACCCGTGACGGTCTCGAGGTATGATTATGAGAATAAATGATAAAACAACTCTGAAGAACAGTAGGTAAAATAGCAAGAAAATAATGTACATATATTCTCTTTTCAGTGAACAGTGTTGTACAAATGAATGGGATTCCCCTTTATATAGTAGGGGAGTCCTAATTAAGGTACATTTCTAATTACAGTAGGAAATCATATTCGACAGTTGTTTAACTGCCGAAGACCAATCCATTCCAAAATTTACGCCGTGATCTCTGGCCCGTCGCGAGTATCTCACTCTTTCCGTTATCGAACCATAACGGTATTATCTCGAAGCATGCCTTCTTCTGACCTCGGTAAATGATATCGACCTCGACATTGAAAATGAGCTTTGACCTTGCACTCGACGTCCTTGCCTCCCGACGTGGTATTACTTTTTCCATCGAAGAACGAAATTGGATAGCTCCATTTTCCACCGTGTGTGTGTATATATATATATATATATATATATATATATATATATATATATATATATATAGGGTAATCAAATAATAAAAAAATAAGATATGTGATCTAAACTAAAAGTTGTCAATGAAGAAAATGTATATCCGAATGATTGTGGCCCCGAAAGCACGCACAAGCATGCATATATCCGTGCCCTGTACTGGTTATCCATTTAGAGGCGCATCCAGAATTTAAATTTGATGGGTTTTATGTATGAGTTTTTTATCATTGAACCCATTATGTTTTTAAAGTTATGAGTTCATAGTTACTATTTATTCAATATTAATAAATTTTTACACATATATTATGCTTAGCATCAAAAGTACTAGGTTAAGATGAACCATGTACCATATAAGACTTAGATAGGCCCCTGCTTATCGTTATCGTAGACATACTTGCAGTAACCAACAAAATCTAGCCAGTCAACCAATGGAATACATGCAAATTGCTTTAGAATACTGACTTTACATATAGGAAAAGGTACATTTGTGAAATAGCATCATATTCTACTTTAGATAGAACTCTTTAACGAAAATTCAAAAAGTAAACTAAAGATGCGACTTGTATGTTGCCTCCTGCCTCCTGCCTCCTGATTTATTTAGTGCCTGTTTTGTATTTTAAAAAAATTGAGGAATTTATATGATAGTGCTACTTCGAACGGGAATATTGCAGATACATTATTGAAAAGAAAACAAAAAAATATATATAGCCCCTAAATTATTAGTCGTCCAACAATTTCCTCCATGTATTATTATTTTCCGGACTTCTTTCACGGTAGTTACTTCAATAAAATTGTCTTATTCAACCCCCTCTCTCTCTTCTTGTTACAATTTTTTTATTGGTTATTTGAGTATCATGCCTCTTTACAATTTTAAAATTAAGAAAATGATATTTTTAGTTCTCTTACGTGTAAAAGATAAATCTTTTACGTGTAAAAGTAAATCTCATATGTACAAAAAAAAAGGTAGGATCATAAAATAAATTAAGGTAAAAACAACTGGTTGAGATTTAATTATTTTTAAAACATGAAGGAAAATGTGGTGGTTAAAAAGAAAATAAAGAACAACGAAAAGGAAAATAGATAAGATATAAAAATATTGATGCAAGATGGTTATGAGACCCATTAAGCTTCTTAGGCACATGTCCCTCAGATGAAAAAGGTAAAAATGAGGTTGATAAGAGATTAATTAGACAAAGTTAGAAATGATCATATCAACCAAATGATGCAAGTAGCAACATAGCAAAAGGATGAGAAACATAGGATATGCATCGCAAATAGATGGTTAAAAAGAAAATAAGGAACAACGTAGGATATGCATCGCAAGTATAGTTTTTTTTACATTGTAAGTGTAATTTAATATATTATACTCCCTCCGTTCCAATTTATGTGAACCTGTTTGACTGGGCACGGAGCTTAAGAAAAAGTGAAGACTTTTGAAATTTGTGGTCCTAAACAAGTCAAAAAGGGGTCCACAGTATTTGTTTGGTTATAAAAGCTTCTCATTAAGGATAGAATTGTAAGATTAAGCTAAATTATTTTCAAATTTAGAAAGGGTTCATTTTATTTGGAATGGACCAAAAAGAAAATAGGTTCACATAAACTGGAACAAAGGGAGTATTAGGTAACGTGCTTTATTTTAGTTTATAGACCGGTCTTATTGAATAGAATTACTTGTAGCTAGTTATCTTTTTAGTGGATTGATGGTATTATTTTCTTTTTATATAGTCAATTCGTAAAATTAACTTAGAACTCATAATATTAAAGGAAAGGATCAAATAATGAAATTCCATGTGATAACTAGCTATGGAGGTTTTCCAGTTTATACTGTTGTAATGAATTAATAAGAATGGGACCATGCGGCAGTTATTAATTAATACAATTCAAACTTGTCAGTAGGCGCAATCATTAGCGAGTTAGCTGAGCTGTGAGCAACGTGCAGTATTCTTGTCCATACTATATAGTGTACTACACGAGCTATGANAGATATATATATATATATATATATATATATATATATATATATATATATATATATATATATACACGCCACATAAATATTCATCGGATTATCGCTTGCATATGCAGAAGCTCTGTAAATTAATCCTACCGTTCTTGTTAACTGTTGCCTCTTCCTTAGGAGGCAGCAAGCGATCGAGAAGTTGGATTAATTAAGAACAAGTAGCTGCATTTGATTTTGCTGTTTCGTACCTTGTGGGTCTTGTGTTTTTTTTTTAATCTAAGTACACAAATACAGACGGAGAATAGATACTTTTGGGGCTCGATAAAATTGAAACCAAACGGAAAGACTGAGGGCCAAAATTAGAAGATGCGGAGCATGGCGAGTTCAGCCTCATCCAGAGGGAATATTGCTGCCATTGTTGGTGTGGGGCCGAAACTCGGCCGCTCTATCGCCCGCAAGTTCGCCCACGAAGGCTATACTGTTGCCATCCTCGCCCGTGACTTAGGTTAGTGTTCTCTATCAACATCTCTTGCTTACATATCTTTTGGTAGAGACAGATCTCTCGAGGGGTTTTTTGGGAGTTCAAATAAACTCATTATTTTTAGTTCGAATTATATATATGTGTGATTAAAGTAATTTTAAATGCCTTCATATAACTAGATCACGCTCATTCTAGTGACTCTAAATCATTGATTCGCTTCTGTTTCTTGGTATATATAATAAAACAAGAATGAATCTCATATCTAGCGATAAAGCAATTAGATGGTACAAGTGCGATTTACTAGAGTTATGTTTTATGTTGTTTATTCCAACAGGTAGATTATCAAGATTTGCAGATGAGATAGCGCGAGAAGAAAAAGCTCAGGTCTTTGCCATCAGGATAGATTGTTCAGATTCCCGAAGCATAAGAGAGGCATTTGAGGGAGTTCTATCACTGGGCTTTGTTGAAGTGTTGGTCTACAATGCATACCAGCCAATATCTTGGCACCCCACAAACTTCACAGACATTAGAGTTGAACACTTTGAGAAATCTCTCGCTGTCTCTTCCGTCGGCGCCTTCCACTGCGCTCAACAGGTCTCAAATTTTAAATACCAACACATGTGCATATATTGCTAAATACAGTAATTTCTTTTAAGTAACCTGATAGTGAAGAAATCTTTTATACTCTTAATGTATACAGTTAAACTCAATATTCACTGCTATTGGTTCCGTTTGGTTTAACCTAATGTTTTGAATGATGAGGTTTGGACCATTGGAATTGAAAATCTCAGGTACTTCCAGGTATGGTGGAAAGAGGAAGAGGGACAATTCTTTTTACTGGTTGTTCAGCTTCTCTTAGTGGCATTGCCGGTTATTCTGAGTTATGTATGTGATAATTTTCTGGGGTTGATTTCCTTTTATTTTTTTCGTTTTGTTGCACTTTAAATCTACAACTCAATTTGATGATACTAAAGAGAAATGAAAAATCTCAGGCTGTGGGAAATTTGCAATGAGAGCCTTATCTCAATGTCTGGCAAAGGAGTTTCAACCTCTTGGAGTACACGTGGCGCATGTCATCATCCACGGCATCGTTGGCACGCCCCGGTTTGTCTTTGTTATATATATATATATGGCCATTACTTCGATAGTAATTTCCTCTTGAATTTCTCAAACTGCCTGTCCAAGATTCTATATTCCACAAGATGCAGGAATCTTTTAGCTGTATTTACCTTTATAACAATGTCAACTCATTCTTGGCAACGTTAGGATATCTTTTTAGATTTTATTTTGCTTTTTGGCCTTCAACGAGGCATAAATTCATCATTTAATGCATTCAGTGATGGATTCAGTTATTCTTATTTGAACTACCTTTGAAGATTCGACAGTTAATATTAATATATATACAGAAAGGTTAATTTGCTTTATTCCTAGTGGGTGAGTAGCTCCGACCCTGAATGCACCCGTACGTGTAACAAATGGCGAAGCCGTTGAATCAAATCTGAGAGGCAAGTCAAACAATTTTCAGGAAGCATATTACTCTACAAGTTTTGCAGTTGGTTTAGACTTGGATTACATCCATCCCTTCTAGCTATAGTAAAAAAAAAAAAACTTGCAGTCCACAGGCTTTCGTTGGGTAAATTTTGAGAGGGAGTTTTCGCCTGTTGGTTTGTACCATATAATAACCTGTTTCACTATGTTACCAAATACTACTAACACTTATAATAGAAATTTAATTGTATTTACCTTACATGCGACCTGATTACATCGTGAATATCTTTTGTCATTAATGCATAGAACTTCAATTCTTCGCAATAATATAAATTGTAATATGCAGGGGGGCAATAGCATCGAGTTCGCAGCACAGGTTGTTGGTTGGGGAACAACAGCACCAACAAACCAGGGGAGGGGAAGGGGAGGGGTGGATGGACCCAGATGCGCTGGCTCAAACCTACTGGTATTTGCACATCCAAGACCGATCCGCTTGGACCCAAGAGATTGATCTCCACCCCTCAAACCAAAGATACACGTAGATCAAATAACGATCAACTTATATTTGTGGCTTATATATAGAGGTGTGATATTATCCTCTCTTCCTCCTGTATTATATTTTTAGTTAGCTGCAAAATGGCAAGATGATAGCTGCATCATTGCCATTGTTGCCCCTATATATCAAAAAGGAACGTTAAGAATTTTAATATGAACATATATGTACATTTTAGTTATTAGAGTATGATTGAACAATTGTGGCCTTGTGACATCGAATTTGGTTTGGCAATGGAATAAGAATTGCATTTAGCTAGTTGTTTACCCTAAAAATTGGATAACAATTAAACTTATTATGTGGTTTTAAGGACACGTGATTTCACATAATATCAATTGATGAATACGAAAATTAGTAGCAGAAATTAACAATAAAATTAAGCAAACCAGTGGTTGAACGGAGTTTAGCCCTCAAGTTGAATACCCTCGAATTGATCGATGCAAGAATAGTTAAAAGTATAGAAATCTGATGAATAAGAATATAAGCCAGAAAGTATTGTATTGCTTTGATATGCGTAAATGTGCAATCCTACAAAATAATTAGGACCTTCTTTATATAGTAGAGGAAATCCTATCTATGGTACAATTCTAATTACGGAACTAAATTCTATGATTAGCAACATCTGTCTTTGATTTGATCCGTTTCGAAATTCTCGCCATGATCTTTCACCAGTCACGGATATCTCGCTTTCCTGTTATTGTGCTCTGCTCGGAGTCTGCCTTGTTTGGTCTCGATCGCTGCCAGCCTCGATCTCAGCAGGCACTTCGATTCTCGAACTCGGTACCTTATATTCGATACTTCGATCTACTCCACTTACGAGGCTAATCCTCGACGCAATTACCTTGTCTCGATCAAATAGCAGAATCGTATGGCCCGATTTTAACCATATATACAGATAGATTCCTTGTTCTTTGGACCGTAATGAGAAGAAATGAATTAAGTCATCGATTTTATACTTCGATCTTTCATGATATCATCCTTGTGACGTAAGCGGCGGAATTGAAAAGTCCCGTCGGTACAGTTCCCAAAGTCATTAATGAACGACAGTTGGTGGTCGGTCACCAGTGCCTTTGAACCATCGCCGTGAATCGCTTAAATAGGCCCCTCCTCTCATTGATCCAATCTTTACTTTCACTTCCTTCTAATCCCTTAAGCTTTTTACATCTCTTAAGCTCTTTATGTATCCAAAATCTTCAGGCTTTGTTTTCATCATTTCCTCAAAACACCAAGCCTTACTCTCTTCTTCTTTCTTTAAACTTATTTAAAAATGGCAAAAACGTTAAAGAATGTTCCTCAAAAGGAAAAAGCTTCTTCATCGCGGCCGGCCTGCAATGGATCACCGGTGGAGCCACGCCTTGAGGAGTGTGTTCCCAGGGGTGTGAACTTACTTCCAACTTCAAAGTCGAGAAAACTCCGTCAGTCCCTGGTCGATCCGAGCCAATGTCGAGATATATATGCTCGATAACTGAGGGTGATCTTGAATAGGTGAAGAAAGACTTCCATTGGAAAGATAAAAAGGTGGTGATTCCGACCCGTCAAGAAGACATCACCACCCATGTGAAAGGGTTTCTGAGTGTTTACACTTACCCTTTCACTCTGGGCCTTGTCGATCCCGTCATCATCGATTTTAGTTGCCAAAACCAAATAAACCTAGGTCATATCCATCCCTCATTTGGGCAGATTGTCATTCTGCTACGATTCTTCTTGAGCAAAGTCGAAGGGATGTCTTTCACCCTCGACCATCTTATCAGGTTGTACAGCCACCGTCTCTATCGAGGCGGGTTAATAAGACTTCAATGTCCGCTACTAAGGTGTTGTTCTCGAGCATAGACGAGGACAAGGATCGAGGATGGATGGGCCGGTTTGTTCGAGTGAAGACTTCCGACCTAATCCCGGCAGAAAAGATGCCATTTCCCGAGAAATGCAATATGAAGCGTAAGTATAATCCTACCTATAGCTTCCATTTATTGTTTTGTTTCCTTTGCTTTTTCTCATCAATATCCTTTCCTATGATGTAGCGGTCCCTTGATGCCCGGGGCAATTCCTAACTTCGAGAGTTGGGTTCGGAAATTGGCTTCGACCTCTTCGTATGCTTAGGGCACGTGGCGCGATTTAGAAAAGGGTAGATAGGAGGACAAAAATCATGGTAAGCCCCTTCTCACATATTAGGTGATCTTTTATGAGATGTTTCTTTCCATACTCACTTGATTTCCTTCCATACAGGCCTCGGAGAAAATTCTTTCATGAGGCCTCTATTCGGGGAGGAAGAGGTGCTGCCCTCGGCTCCGAAAATGGCGAAGGACAAAAAGAGAAAAAGGGTCTCGACCTCCGAGGACCCAAAGCCCAAAATAAATAAGGCATGTAAGCCGAAGAAAGACACCACCGTCTTGCTTGCGGAGGTAGTTCAGCGGCTAAGAGATGAAGAAGAAGAAGAAAACGAAGACGATGGCTTCGAGCTGGTGGCTCGAGTGAAGTAGAGCACCGAGGCCCCAAAGGCCTCTGAGTCGGTGAATGTTTGAGAAATCCAGCCCCGAACTGAGTAGGTCTCGGAAGAGGAACCGGGAAAGTCCCCGAGTTGTTGGAGACTGTAGACGCCTCACGCCGAGATGAGCAGTCGACAGGTATGTCTGAGGGAGCCGATTCTGAGGCCCTTTGAAAAGAAGAGAACGCTCCAAGCGATTCACTTGGGGCAATAGAAATTGGGGATTCCCCTCCACTTCCTTTATTCTCAGAAGGGGAAGTTTTGGAGGATAAGGCTATGAAGGTCCCTCAGGTAGAAGGTGCCCTCGGAGGGGACGACCCTTTCACAAGGTGTTTTACCAGGGTTGATGATGTCCCCGGCTTGAATGATTTGGACGTATTGAGGAGCTTTGGCAAAACTTCCTCAAGTTTCAGATTGACCAGCTAGTTCCCAGCCCCTAGTGTCAATCCTAAGTGCAAACGGACCATCATTATTATGGTGTCGGAGGATGCATGAGTTTTTGCCGCCCCCGTAGGGGTGGCCAGTTATCTTCAATGTCTAGTCGCCGAAGAGGATCAAGCTCTGATAGGCGAGGTGGGAGCACCATGCCTCTTCAATGAGGCCCAGCAAGCTTTGAATCGGGTAAGCCCTAACCTTTTCTGTTGACGCCGATCTCCATACTTGTGTTTTTCTTTCTTTGCCTAACTCTTTAACTTCTATCTATGTAGGCCTCGGTACTTCATCGTGAGGCTTTCTTCAAGTCTCGAAGAGAGTTGAGCCGATATGAAGCTGAAATTCGAACTGAGGAGAAAAATGCTCTCAAGCTTCTTGGTGAATAAAATGAAAATGAAATCAAAGGTCTCCGAGCTGAGATGATCGTGTCCAAGAAAGAACAAAGTGAGCTGACCGAGCAGGTAAATAAAGTCTTAGACGCTTATGGCCACAGTTCGTGAGTGATGGCTAATGATTTGATCTCATAGGTCCAGTGGCTGCATGAAACAATTGTGCAACTCCGAGGAGAGGTACATGAGGTGAAAGCAGAGACTTCAATGTGGAAGCAAAAGATGCGTCATCTTGCCTTGAAGAAAGAGGCAGCTCGAGCTCAGTTATCTTAGCCGAAAGTCAACTCCAAGGCATGAAAGAGAAGTGTTCGGAACAAGCCAAGAAGATTGAGGAGCTACACACAGAGATTGTAGCGGTGAAATCTGAGGCTGAGACGATTAAAGCCAATGTTGAGGCGATTCACGGCTGTCTACCGTATAAAACGCCGAGGCCGCTCAACTCGAGCAAAAGAAGTTTCAAATGCTGCTGAGGCTCGAGCATACTGGGTTGTCGAGCATGCCAAAGCTCAGTCTCCAAGAGAGACTCTTGAGGAGATTCACGCTCGTGGCTTTAACCTTGACGTCGAGATTGAGAATGCGAAAGAACTTGAGGCTGAAGCCAAAGCGTTGCTCTCTTCTGACGATAATGATTCCGAGAGTGTGAGTGGATCTGAGTGCGGAGGAGATCCCAATGGCGAGGATGCAGCTCTCGGGGAATATTAGGCACTTAGGATTTTTATTTTTTGAATTTTTGTGTAAGACCCTCATCGGTCCTTGTAAATATTTCATATGTATAAAAGGTCTCTTTGCGTTCTGTCTTGTCTTTATTTCAATTTCTGCCTTGTGAAGATTCTGTTTTCATTCATGCCTTGTTCATGCATACAAGGCTTAGGCAATTTGGTCGAAGTCGGACTAAAGTAACCTTTGTGATCGAGTGAGTACTTGTTCGAACTCGAAATAGGATGACCCTTAGGTTTTAGTTGAGTGAGGTCGACTTCTTGAACCCAAAAATAAAATGGCCCTTAGGCTCTTGAATTGGGCCGATATGGCCTTAAAAGGAATGGTTTTCAACCTTTTCGGCTTAGAAAGATAATCATGTAAAAATTTGTTGTGCCTTTACACGAGATAAATTTTTACCCATTAGGGTTTTCGAGGGGTAGTGTTATCGGAAACCTTTGTTATATTAAGCCTTAGCGTGAAATAAGCTCGTTCGGTAGTTCGAACAATTTGGTACCCCTTAGGGTTTTCGAGGGTTGATGCGATCGAAACCCTTTATAAATTTGCTGAGGGTAGCCTTTTAAACCGGTTTTATGAAAATATTTGAAGGCCTATTTTATTACGGAATTCAGACGTCTCCGAGCCGTGTTGGTTTGGCCGTAGCCTTTGATTTGGGATTTGCCTCTCGGGCTTGTTTCCCAGTTATTCTTCAAACTTGTTCGAAGTGTTTGTTCCCGAGTGGGGTGGTCGTGGCCTATAAAAACGAAGATTGTCTTTTTAAGGTCTTATGATCTCGAGATTTTAGTAGTTCGATTATATTGATTTTTCGGACGGTAGTCCCCGAGTACGGGGTAAGTTGTTCAAACTTCAGTTGTGATCGGCCCTCAAGCATGTTTCCACAACAGACCAAAATTAAGAAATCGTAAAATAAAATTTTCTCTAAGGCATGAAATATTTGGTAAGGAAAAATACTTCTCTCAATAGATTATGCATGCGTACATATTTGTCTTTAGGGATCGAGTAATGTATATAGGCACGGTTCGTTTGACCGTTAGCCCTTACAAAGTTTTACCTATCGAGACCCCTGTCGACACGAAGTACCTTCCTTGTAACAAAGTTAACAGCCGAGGGTGATGCCCCCCAGTATTCGAGGTTGATTGTAAAGAAGCCTCGAATACTATTGAATTGCCTCAAGGTAGCACAAATAGTGATTGCCTCATTAAAAACCTCACCGGAAAAACCCACTTGGGAAAAA